TCCGAATGCACTCAGTAGGCAGCATACTGAATTGCAATATCCACATATTTGTTTTTAATTTATGTTCAATGACCTTTAAATGGTTGCTAAGAACAAAAAAATTCCATTTTTCAGCTTTATAAGTTTCTTATTTCTTTTTCCCAAGGGTTTTATGGTATGTATGTAAGATGTAAGGTCAAAATAATATATAAAGCATAAAAAAAATGTCCAAATTTGACCCTGACATTTTTTTTCTTTAGGGGTGAAGGTCATATCAGTACAGAAATCTGTCTTAACTGTAGGTACATATCAAATTTAAAATACGCAATTATTATGAACTTATTTTTCAATAACGACACATAAAATTGTAAATAACAAAATCAACAGAGACATCACAAAAGTGTCTGAATAGTTATGTTTTGTTTGTTTGTTTTCACATCTTGGTTGTCACTAAAAAATATATCTCTGACTTAAGTAGACTGGAACAAAAATTTGTAACATATGTTCTCAAGTATTTCAATCTTAGTGAAACATACTATTAAACTCATATTAAGGTAAAAATGTATTGCAACCAGTATATCTTTTAATTATACAATGGAGTTCTTATTTTGTCATTTTAAAAAACTAAATCAAACACATTTTTTGGTATCTAGAATATATTGTATGAGAAAACATTTACCTTTCCTCTTTTCTTACAAGAATTATTTTACTTTTTCAAGACTTGACTTGGTTATTTGTTTAAAAACTTTATTTTATAAGCATATAAAAAAACAGCAAAATGGACAAGCACAGAACTTCTGCTACAATCTTTCACTCATCCAATTTATGTGACGCACAAATCTAATTTCAGTAGCCAAGGATTCCTTATAGCACATAATATGATCTTGAATAACCACTTGCATCATTGATAGAAATAAAGAGCATGCCTAAAAAGTCAACTATCAGGAAAAGAATAATTAACAAGCATATAGGCTTATTTGCTAGTAGGTTTGCAGGTCTTTATCTCTAATTTAGATTCCAGATAACATTATGTGCACATCATCTTCATGTTGAATGATCTCTCTGTCATCTCTCTTAAAAAAAAGGGACTCCTTTGATTTGACCAAGGCATGATCAGCTTCTAAATGCATTCTGTCCTGTAACAAATTAAAAAAAGTTTTGAAAAATTTTTTTATCAATATGTTTTTTAATCAGAAAAATAATTATACAGAAATCTACAACTGACACATTGATATAACTTTCCTTTTATAATATTTTTAAAAAAGTCTTTATAAAGCATATCATATAATATATATTATATATGTCATATTTTGTCATACTAGTTAAATGGTTTGGTAAAGTCAATGTATTATGACTAAAAAATTGCCTGCCTTGTACTTAACAAACATGGTTAATCAATTATAATTTCTAAAAAATAGTACAACTAACCATTAGTATTATCAAATACATGAAATATCCATTTTTAGTTTCTGTTGTCAGAGTTGTTAAGAAAAAGGGCATGTTGGACTGAAAACAATTACTTTAAAGAAAAATCCCTGGGACAAGGTGTTCATGTACATGGGATTGTTTGTATGTTATTAAATGTCCATCTCAAGAATTTCTCTCACATATGGAGACATCACCTCTTGTCGGTGAACAGATGCAAAGGGGGAGTTTCGATAAGGCCGCTCAGCGGCCCACATTTTCATAAAAATAAATTTGAATATTTTTTTCAAAATCAGTTTATAATTCAAGATAAATATGTTAACTTTTGTTATATATATTTCAAAAGTTGAGGTGTTATATATTAATGCCGCAGTTAAGCCGTATTTAGATGTATCTTCAACGCGTTAACATCAGGCCTATGGGAAAAAAACGAGAGGGGGACATTCATTAATCGATGTTTAAAGTATGAAGTGCATGAGGGACACTCACCAAATTTTGCACAATAACTACACATACAATATACAGTATTGCCTTAAAATTTGTTGATAATCGCGTGTGCACTTCATATAAAAAAATATCAAAATTGCACAAAAATGCATATCTAAATTTAGAGGCACTCGGTCACTTGATCACTTGATCTGATCAAGTATCAAAATAATCAGCTAAATAGTGGCAGATAGTGTTTTCATTGATGCGGATTTTCAAAAATATAAACGATATGAAGCTTAAACATATCTCATCATCATTTTGATACGAAATTTATTGCCTATATATAATGATATTTACGTCTTTTTTTTCTTAAGTCATACAACAGTGGAAAAAATACTTTAGTTCTCATTTGAATTATCTTGGAAATAATTATGCATTCCAAAACTTAACATTTTTGGTTCTGAATATTTTTAATATTTGTTTTTATCATTATTCGCTCAAAATCTTGACAAGTATCGTTTTAAAGACAGTCCTTATCATTTAGATATTCCTGTCTATCAAACGGGATCGAGGGATTGCAAAGTTGTTTTTTTCCGCTCATAGTTTATTCATTTCTTATGTTTCATGGTTATAGCCTGAAGAAAGTTATTTAAGCCTTTCTTTAGAATGGAATTCCTCGCTCCAACCTGCTAGAGAGGCGCCCATATATACCTCCGTGTGGGTGAAACAGGGAAAATTCAATGTTTTACGTCTGGATGTTGAAGTGAATATTTTCCGCGGAACTTAGGATTCAACACATATCTTTGGCGTTTACACATGCATTTTGAACCGCGGCTCTAGTTTAGCAATCTAGATGCTAGGGGGAACCTCCTTTATGGTCAGCCCAAGGGAGTTGCAGTTACCCATCTTGTCGTAGACATACTGAAACTCTCTGTATGAGGTGTGAATGGAGCTGTTGAAGCAAGATGAGTATCTATGGAGAGCTGGGAAGCGAGAGGGACTTAGTTGAGAACGCAACCCAGACCTGAATGTGGGCAAATACCTCTAACTCGAAATATGGATAATTCAAAATCTAAAACTTGTTGTCTTTGTCATAGATTTGTTCGCAAGAATAGCAGAAAGATTAAGAATATGAATAACCAAAGTCTACTCAATCACATTTCACAGAAACTTCAAGGGTCTGGTTCTTCTATGAACATAGAGTCAGATGTAATATGCAATTTCTGTCGAACTTAGTTTTATAGGGTACAAAACCCAGAGTCTAGCAGTGCATTAGATCCAATTTTAGAAGAAGATCCTAATGTACCCAGAAACGACCCATCCTTTCAAAGCCTTAAACGAATACGGTTGTCTATCCCCCGAGCCAGTTTATAACATCGGAAATGTCAGTTCTGTTCAAAGACTAAGAACCTAAGAACTATCACTGAAGAAATCAAAATGAAGGCATTCGTAAGATAAGGGAGTTCTTATCCCAGAGGGTAGTAGATGTTGTGAGCGTCATATGATTGATGGTAAAATTAACCCCAATATATAAGACAATCTTTCGCCAACTTCTGACTTCACTAACTTTAACAGATCAGAAATTACAACTATGCTGCTTACCTTAAGAGAAAAATGCCTTGAACGAACAGTAGGTATAGACTTTGAAAATCCGCAGTCTCTGTCTGACGAAGATTATTACAATCTCACTGGGGTCACAAAATCGCAATTTGATGTTCTTTCTAAGTACATGTCTCCTCTTAGAATTTCATGCAACAGAGCACCGAGAACATGCCTTGCCCTGCTACTGACAAAAAAATTAAGAACGGGCAATTCTTTAAGTATTCTTAGCAGCATGTTTCAAATTAGAAATAAAAGCATTATTTCCAAAGCTATTTCTAGTGCTAGAGATGCCTTGATGGAAAATTTTGTGCCTGAATTTCTTGGATTTTCCCATATGACCAGAGAAGAGTTTATATCCAAACACACAAGGCCCTTTGTTCAGCATCTTTTAGCAGACGGAAAGCCCATTGCTATACTTGTACTGGATGGTACATATATTTACATCCAAAAAAGTGGCAATTAAACTTTTCAGAGACAGACGTTCAGTGGTCACAAGCATAGGCCTCTTGTAAAACCAATGATGGTTGTTGGAACAGACGGGTATATCCTACTTGTTCTTGGACCATACCTAGCTGATGGCAAGGATAACGATTCTGCCATATTAAACAGTGTTATCCTAAATAATGTTGATGAAGTTCAAAGCTCGATTGAGAAAGAGGACTTATTAGTTGTCGATAGGGGATTTCGTGACTCGTTGGATTTTTTTGATAAACTGGGGATAAAACATGAAATGCCTGGTTATTTATCTCGTAGATGTAAGCAGCACACAACAGAGGAGGCTAACCACTCTAGATGTGTTACGAAGGTCAGATGGGTTGTAGAGTCGGCAAACGGCAGAATCAAAACATGGAAAGCACTGGACCAAGTAGTTCCAAACACCCAGGTAAAATGGATAGGTGATTATGTTAGAATTGTTAGTGCAATAGTCAATGCTTTTCGACCCCCTCTCATATCAAACAGTGATGATGATATTGCTCTTGCCAATGAAATGAAACAACTGTCAAGAAAGTCAAATGAACTTCGAGAAAGGGTTGAAAGAGAAAACCTTTCCAGTAAACGAGCAATCTGGGGTGAGCTTTCCCAGGATTGTATTAATAAATTTCCTCGCTTAACAGAGAATGATTTGCGAACACTTACACAAGGGTTTTATCAAAATAAACAAGCAAAATCTTATATAGTGGAACACATGTCTACAGATAGATCATACAGCATTTCTGTCCATAGGGATGACGCTGGTCTATTTATCTTTGTCCACTTTTAACTTGTATTTTCCCCTATATGGAAAAGACCTATTCTACAAGAATTTAAAAAGATTTGAACAAAGTATCGATTTAATTTGATTTTCAACCTTCTGTATTGAATACTTTACGTTAACCCCACTTTCTAAACAAAAAATATTGTTCAATAAATTAAAAAAAAAAACTCATACCATATATGAAGCATTCACACAGTCATTACAAAAAAAAATTCAGTAAGAAAATCATAAATTTGATAATTTTTTTGTCTTTAATTAAAAAAATCTAATGTTTCCTGTGATATTTTTAGTTTTAAAACTCAGTCCTCCGCTACCAAAAAGATCCATTAAAAAAATAAAGGAAAGGGGGTATACTTGAATTTTCAAGTACACATGTATCACGTGACCGGAAAATGCGTAGTAATAATTTTTTTCGTATTTTCTGAAAGATAAGAGGTTTATTTACAAAATATCAAATTTTTGTAAAATTTCTTGATGGGCCGCAGAAACTCCCCCTTTTGTTCCATACTTAGCACTAACGGCTATTGAGCTGTGAGGCATTTTTTTCATGCCAGCATCTACTGCGACAAGGGACCTTAATTGGTTTACTGTAAACGTATTACATTTAACGGTGTATTCTATTTAGCGATTTTGGCCGAAAGCAGACTTCCTCAATTCAAGACCGTCACTAAATGTCTTGTATGTTAACTTTCATACCTAGGACATTCAGACTGCGATTAATCAAATCTACGCTTACCTGTTAAAAATTGAATCTCCGACAAATATATCATACACGTTAAATGTAATACATTGATATATATAAGTAATAGATAAGATATTTTTATAGTGTCTCATCAGAAGGACAGGTCTCAACGTCTCATAGTAAGATTTGGACCTGCTATGTAAGGATCAACTCCTTACTTCATGACTGTAGAGCAGAGGCTCTAACCATTGTGCTACTCATGTACCTGGGATGTTGACTAATAGCCATTAAGTGACAATGAGGATTTTTTGAATGCAATAAAATTGACTTACGAATAACTAAGCACATATGTCCTCCACATCATAATCTTTTATGTGCATGGTGGTCATTGGTGCAATTAGCAAGCGGGTCTTCACAAATGAAAGTTCTGAAGCCTTTTGTACAAGCACACTACGCATGCTAAAGAAATATGTGTTTGTCTTATTTTTAATTATGTCAAGTTTCATTTTTCTTTGAATGGTGCTTAGAAGTAGTCATGAAAACTTACCCACTTCAAAAACAACAAAAAAGGAAGTCGAACTTATTTGAACCCATCCTCACAAAGCAAGGTTTGGATGCTCAGGCCAACAATTTAAAAATTGATTTGTTTGATGTACAACCCGTCAAAATTGGCCCTACCCAATACTCTTTTCAGCACTTTAATTTCTATTTTCGATTTGAAATTACCTAAAATTGGTTCATTTTAAAGCAAAGATGTATAATTTCTAAAGAATGCTTTCTGTCTGAATGTTTTTATAACATTAAATTTGTGTAGCTATCAAATGTACACTGTTAAGAAATATGTGATTTTTATGACAGTTATAAATTTTTCAGCAGGATAAACCACCTCAAAATTAACAACCTACTTACCCATCATGTAAAAATGTGGGTCGGAGTTCATCGAACCACAGGAGTCGGCAGTTTTATCAATAAACCAGTGAAAACATAACCTATGAGCTTCGCGAGCGTAGCGAGCGAAGCGACAGGAATGCAACGCGTTTTTGGTGATGTTTTCTTTGCCGCTTTATATAGTCAAAATAACAAACGCGTGCGACTCAATTCATGTCAGTTGATGTGTCCCACCTGATTTCTGGTCCAGTCCCCCTCTTAATTGCCGATATTGACCCTAAAATCCAACATAAACAACATTTCGAAAAGAATCAGCCGCCATGAGGGTTTTTCCGTGACGTCACGATATATTCAAAATGTGTTCATTGACTTAAGTAAGTTTTACTTCATTTTAAAAATATGTTTTGGTATATTATTCCTTTAAAAATATTAAAAACACAAATAATTCAAGGATTGAACATTTTACCCAATTTTTAAGTGTTTAAATGTAGGGGAATCCAAACTCATTTCAACTGACGTCACGGGAAAACCCTCATGGCGGCTGATTCTTTTCGAAATGCTGTTTATGTTGGAAATTAGGGCAAATAACGGTGATTAAGAAGGGGAATGCAACAGAAATCAGGTGGGACACATCAACTGACATGAATTAAGTCGCATGCATTTGTTATTTTGACTAAATAAAGCGGCAAAGAAAAAATCACCAAAAACGCGTTGCATTCCTGTCGCTTCGCTCGCTACGCTCGCGAAGCTCATAGGTTATGTTTTCACTGGTTTATTGATAAAACTGCCGACTCCTGTGATCGAACAAAAATATTTTATTGATCAGTCAACACAGTATTCCATATTGAGAAAACAGTGATTATACATATATATAGATTATAGATTATATTATAGATATATAGATTATACACATTCATGCTATAATTAAAATGATACGGAGGTCCTGTTATCGTGACATTGACCAATGAGGTAGGGAAGGGGTTAAATCTCCGAATGATTCTATTGAATTGATGAAATTATTTATTCAATTTATCAAGTAAATGAAAATAACATTATTTAAAGTTTCAACATGCAATCTCACATCAATGCTTCGCACTGGGCGCCGAATAAATATCTTTTTAGAATAATCTTTATTGAGTCCCCTTCTTTAAAAAATGACTTAAATCTTAAATCAATAAAGATTTTTCGTTGATAATTAAATAATTGTGCGTAGAACTCACTGATCAGCCACAGCCGTAAAATAAGTAATATCATACAATCAATAAAAAGAATCATTTATTTCAGTTAAACTTCCATCTGTTGTGTTTCGCGTGATGAATCGGAAAATATTTGTGGAATATGTGAAGAAAGTCTCAGAAGAAAAACAAGCTTCCATACAGTCTTTGAATCTTAACAGTCTCCTCGGATCGTTTTTAATTGGAAGAAAGAAATACAGCTCTGAGGGTAAGACAGCGTTTAATCAGTTGTGTTAGTAAATTACACCTACAGTCCCTGAAACGTTCTACTTTCCCATTTTTCCGTTCACTCACCGTTCGTTCAGCGTTCGTTCACCGTTCGTTCAGCGTGCGTTTACCGTTCGCTCTTCGTTCACAGTATTGCGTTCACCGTTCACCGTGCGCTCGCGTTCACCGTTTGCCGTTCGCTCTTCGTTCCGTTTACCTTGCGTTCACCGTTCACTTATCGTTCAGTCTTCATTGTTATTCGGAACTCCGAAGTTAAAGGGCTTATGTTTTGGATTGTAAGGATTTACACGTTTATTAATTAAGTAATTTAGACATCGTGTTTGAAGAATAATTATTTCATTGCAAAAATTATTTATGATATTTATATTTCTATTATTATAATTCAGCTCTAACTTTATTCATGAAATTTCCCTGGAAAATAATACATTAAGTACCTACATTGTACATGTATGTAGAACGATGCTAAAATATTAAATTTAAAAAAGGGCACTGTACAAATGCATTACGCATGGCAACAATTTATTGTAATGTTAGAGACGATAAATCATTAATGGATGTATAATAATTAATCCAAGTCTTTTACAAGACAAGAATACACAAAAAAATTATTTCTACAGTAACACGTATTTTAAACTACACTTAGGTCTGAAAATTATGAACAGTACTGCAAATATTCACTTAATTAAATATCTAGAGAGTTTATTAAATTGATAACTAAAATAATTAAAAACTTCTTGGAAAAACTAAGTGACTGCCTTCGGCAATTTTGTTCGGTGAAACGTGATTTCCACACCTCCACCATGTCGAATGATATTGATTGACAGGACAAACACGTGACTTTGTGCACTTCCTGTGAACTTTACTCGGAGTCGCCTTGGCACGGAAATACATGTATAGTTGATTCAACCGCGCACAATGTAATTAATTCATTCTATAAGTAGTTGTTTTATCTTCTAAAGTCCACATTATTTTATTAGAGAAAAGAGAAGAATATTTACTATATTTATAAAAAGATTAATTTTATATTTAAACTACACGCGTTCGGTACATGTAACAAACACACATGTTTTACGGCAATTAAAACCCTGTTATAAAACTATCGATTTAATTCATAGGGGCATATACCGGGTATGTACAGAAAAAAATGTTTTTATTATTTATTTATTTATCTATCTACTCTGTCTTTATATTAAAGCACCTGTAATTAGAATTAAAGAATAATTTCAAAGCAAGGAAAAGATCGGACGCATTCCGAATAAATCGTTCATCTTGCGTTCACCGTTCACTTTGCGCTCACGTTCGCGCTCCGTTCGCGTTCTGCGTTCACCGTTCACACATCGTTCACCAAGTTGCGTTCAGCGTTCGCACATCGTTTAGTCACCGTTCGCTCTGCGTTCTTTACCGTTCAGGTAGGAAAGTATCTAACGTTTCAGGGACTGTAGGACGAGAGTATTTTTTCGCAAACAAATTTCCTTATTCCAAGATAAAGAGAGTGTGATAAAGGTACATGTAGAGATAGGTTCTTGTCATTTTTCCTCTAAATTTTATTCAATATTTAACATTGAGTTAATTTCCTTTTCCCAGTCCACATTGATAGAATGCAAATCTTTTCTTTCTAGCTACTTCATTGTAGTTCAAAATTATTGATTTTTAAAATGATCAAAATTCATACAATGTCACTCAGATTGAAGATATTTTTCACTCCGTGTGTAAAAAATGGTCATTTCATTGTATACAGAGAAAATCAGGGTTTGTAGTACAGAGAGACTCATGGAATATGCAGATTTGAAATGTCTTTGTTATTAACACATTAATAACATTGACAAAACTTAACAAATGTTAACAGGTTTACATGTACAATAATGCGTGGGGCGACGGTTTTGTAATTATAATGTTATCCTTCACCACTATACTCACATATAGAAAGTACATATTTTTTATTTGGCAATATGAGCCTGCGAAACATACATGCATTGCTACATCCCATAATATACATAGAACGAACTTATGTACAAGTACGGGGATGCAAGTGAAAGAATGAAAAAATAAAGACCACCAAAGTTAACATAATTTTTTCAAAAGAATTCGAGAACTTATTCCGTTTTTTTTCCATTATATCATCATATAACACATGTTATGTCAAAATTCCAAATGTGGTAATAGAATATACAATTTGATAAAAACTTGAAGAATTTGTATTAGTAAAACTTCATTTGAAAAAAAAATAAATATGACCACATCCAAAAAGACCTTCTAAAATACATAATCACGAGAAATTGTAGTTATTTATGCTTCCAAGAAGTATTACTAAAATAAATGATTAAATCTAAACCTTGATTGACTTTCTCCTTTTGTGCATGTGACAAAACTTTTTTGAGTGTTATTGTACATTATTTTTTTCGATTCTGGTTTGAAAAGTTTAAAGTTTAAGAAGGAATAAATTTCCCCATGATGAAAATTGTTGTTCATTTAAATCAATTCTTTAAATCTAAATGAAAAAAGAAGTAATTTCTTACCATTCTTTTTACCAAAAAAAAAATTATTTATGAAGTGACTCTGTTTTGCATTATTGTATTGCACTCCAAATATGTCTTTTATTTCACACTGCTTTGGCGATTACAATTTACAACAACAGCTTATATATGTATATCAATTTATTGTTGCGATATTTCTTTTAATTTATGACAAGTTTTTCATATTTTCAAGAACTTAAAAGATAATTATCTGCAAATGTAATATATATATACATTGCATTCATGCAATGATGAAAACTATTCCCTTATTTGACCGTAAAATATTTGATTTGTTGATAGCTATTGTGTTTCGAACGTTTTTTAAATTTATTTTTAGAAGGATTGTTTAGTAGCAAATATAAATTAAAAAATGAGTTGCATTCCTGACTGCAGTTGATTTATAATTAAAACCATAGAACCCCGAAGTTCATAAAGTTTTGATAAAATCAAGAGGTAACGAATTGGATTATCCCAGTACCTAAGTTCATTGGTACTACCTTTGAAATACGGATACATTTTCATTGCTTTCGTAAAATGAAAAAGTTTATTTCAAAATGATGGATTATATATCTCATGCATATCTCTAAAACTTTGATGTATTTGGGTTTGTTCTTTGGCATCCCCCCTTACAGTTCTTCTAAGTTATATTTAGAAAGCTTTCCTTATGTAATCCTCACTGTGCTTCCAACCGCCGAAAACCACTATCTGAATATTTAATAATCTAGACTACCACAAGAAAATCAGTCTCATAAGTATAGATATATCAATAGTCAAGGACAAAAGGTCCAAATTGTTGATATCCAATGAAAGGTCTTGCCACAAAAATTACATATGTGAAATATAAAAGGCAATATATCTACCTTCCAATTTTATGACGAAACAAAAAATCTTCATTTTTTGTGTAAAAAAGGATCGAATTCCAAGGTCAAGGTAAAAAGTCAAATTTGTTGATACCCAAAGAAGGCTTTGTCACAGTACAATTGTGAAACATGAAAGTCATAGCTTCACTTAATCGAGGTTATGGGCAAGGTTAAAGTTTTTTTTTGTAAGGGACGACAGACGGACTTACTGACAGACAGACGAATGAGATTTAAAGTCCCCTCCCTCGCTTTTGCGAAAGCTTTGGACAATAAGTATAAAATACATGTGCTTTGATAAGATATTTTTATTTCAGTACCTGAAATTCTCGCACTTTCTCAGACAAAAAAGAGCATTCTCGTTTCTATTCTGATATCAGAGAGTTACAGTTTATCCTTAAGTACAACATGGGAAGAAATATCAAAAAAACTTCAAAGTGCGTTCCCGTTATTAAAGTGTGATTCAAAAACATTAGACAGTGATATCACTGAATTGAAAGATATCTCTAAAGTATTGAATAAGGAAAACAACTCAGTCAGTTTTATATCAGATGATGTCCGCCATCAAGTAATGAGTTACTTTGTGAGGAATTGTCTGATAACTGATGAGGACTACAAGAATTATATCAAACTGTCATCAGTGGACTCTTTGTTGGAGTACGTACGGCCGTGGTGGTATATGGTATACATAGAACTCAAGAAATGTCTGTTCCTTCCGGAGACTTTGGAGGATTCATTCTTTCAAAGACTTGGATTAGACGTCCTACGTCACCCCATGATAAACCGTTTTGAGGAATGTGATGAAGAGACAACAAAAACATTCAGAGAAAAAGTGAAAGACAAATGTGAGTAACACTGCAACTGAGAATAAATTTTCATATTTTGTAGGGGAAAAGTTTTTCTTAGCCCTTTTAAGGATTATGATATATGATTAATTAAAAGTTCAGCTTACCAAAAAGAAAAACGATAACTAATTATTATCCAACTAAGCATATAAAAGTGAATCAATAACTGTAACTATTTTAATTCAAAGTTAACGTACCGGAGGAAATATTTAACTGGAAATATGACGCACGATATAGATACATAGAATGTGCTAAACGGGGGACAAAGACAGTACACAGAGCTCGTGCAATGATTGTTGGATGCGCAGGTGCTGGGAAAACCACACTTCTCAAACGACTTGAAAAGCTAGGATTAGAGGAATTACTGAAGGTGCGCTCTACTGTTGGACTTGAGGTTCATGAAGACATGTTTGAACTGGATGAGGACTCTTCTTTAAGAGGTTTGTATAAAATATTTTTAAATGCTTTCTTTATTCCGTGTGTAAATGGAATTAACAATGCAAACATCTCCTGAAAAAATTAATTAATATTTCTAACTAGATATTTTTAGTCAGGTAATATTGCAACTATTACTCCGCTTCAACAAAAAATGACATTTCTTTGTTTATATTTATGTTTGTGTAAATAATCGTATAAAGTGCGTTCATGGAGGCTTGAGGAAATTTAATTCCGTAAATCTGGAAATTTTAACGTCCATTTTATTTTGCGAATTTGGGTCAAAATGCTGTTGAATAATTTTTTAGGCTTCAAAATTTTGCGATTGATCACTGCTTTGTTTTTGTTTGTTATTGGTAATTTATTTTTGGGAAAAATATTTTTGCGAATGCAATGAACTCGCAAATTTGTTAAAAAATTATCTACAGCGAAAATTTTCTGATTTACAGTAGTTATCTGAATATATTGATAAAGGATCCAAATGCTCATTTTATTTTTTACAAAGGTACATTGTAAGACCAGTTTTAAGTATTTTACTGATTTAAACAGTATCTATCATTATAAAGGGAAAAACATTTATTTGATGTCATTTTAAGAAGATCAATTGATTGTTTAGCTGCATATTGTTTTACGTCCCTAAACATTAGTTTTACGTCCCAGAACGTTAGTTCTATTTCTTTTTTTTCAAAAAGCAGAGGTCAGAAGAGATTATGTAATAGGATGTACGCCGTCTGTCTAGCTGTCTTACGGCCTGTAAACTATTCTTTAGATCAAAATTATACGCCAACATAATTGGTGCAATGTTAATATTACTACGTTTGCATAAAATCTAATAAGATACACAAATTTGTTCATTTTTTTTTAAATTTACTGAACCGTGATACATAGTGACTAGAATTAAAAATCTTTTAAAATAAACATAGCTTATAAAAACCTTTTTTGCAGTTTTAGTCTGAAATCCAAATAACTGGCTAAAAATAAATACACTTTAAAAATATCCATAACCCTGCTTCTCTGTTAAAATCTGTTTCAAGTGTAGCTAAAAATACAAATATCAGTGAATTTTTTCTCCTTCCGTCTTATTCTGATTTCAATTTGAATTTTTTTTAAATAAGTGTTTAAAAGTACATAATACTGAGATACGTTTTTATGCGCCCGGATCGATGGATCCCGGGCGTATATTGTTTTTGTCCTGTCTGTTTGTCTGTTTATCTGTTTGTCTGTTTGTCTCTCTGTCTGTTGTCAACTTTAACCTTCACCATAACTTTTGAACCATGAAAAGATAGAGACTTCATATTTAGTATGCATACTCCACTAATAAAGTCCTTTCAAATGACATCAAGGTCAATGACCTTGTGACCTTGACTGTGACCTATATGCTAAAAATAGCTTTTTCCACTGTTTGTCATAACTTTTGAACCAAAGGAGATAGAGACTTCATATTAAGTATACTTACTCAACTAATAAAGTCCTTTCAAACGTTGATAAGGTCAATAATCTTGTGACCTTGACTGTGACCTATATGCTAAAAATAGCTTTTTACACTCTTTGCCATAACTTTTGAACAATAGGAGATAAGGACTTCATATTTGGTGTGCATACTCCACCCACTAAGTTCTTTCGAATGACACCAAGGCCAATGACCTTGTGACCTTGACTGTGACCAATATGCTAAAAATTTATTTTTTGAACTTTGTTGCCGCCGGGAACTTAGTGTTTCACAAACACATCTTGTTTTTTATGATGTTTTTATGAAAAGCGTTGCCATGGTTACTTTTAATGAAGGAAATGACTTCTTTTTATCAAAACATTACCTTTTAATGATAATTCTATTACAATTAGATATTTCAACAAAAGGTTCACTTCACTTAAACGCTGAATGAAATTCGTTCAAAGCATACTTGCCTTAAATTGTTGCTTGGATTTCAGAGGGACTTAAGTAGGTAATTGCCGACCACACTAAGTTTAATATTCTTTAAATCAGTTTATGATACTGATAAACAACGTTGCAAGAGGGCTACCAAAACAGAAATTTCATACATGTAGAATTCTTTGCAAAATGCTACATATCTTACCTTTTTTCTTCGATTTAAAAAAAAAACCTTTCTTACAAATGCCAGTAAACATTACCAATATACAGTCGCATCTCTTTTTAGTATAAGCACATGGTGTTGCTATGTTTACTATTTTTAGAAATTTGAAATACTCTCAAAAGGGTATTTCTACAACAACTTTTGTCTAATTGCTGTCAAATTGACGTCAAGAGACTTAAGGTAAAACACAATAGATAGGCTAGATTTTCCCTTAAATTCCATTTTTCCGAAACTTTGATACTTTGTTCTAGGATACAGAATCTCTCTTTCTGTATGATATGAAAGAAATTCAACCACGCATATTTTCCCCACAAAGTCTTAACTAGATGCTGTCATGAGACAGTAATACCCGCACTAAGGTGTTTGCTTCTAAATACACAATCCTACGGGCGGCTTACCAAGGAAAAAGTCAAAATAATTCTATATAATTCAGGCACGTAGCATCGTTTTTGAAAGTGGGGGGGGGCAACCTGAGAAAATTTTTTTTACTAACCTAAAACAATTAACAAGGAAAAAAAATGAAATGGGGGGTGGGGGTGGGGGGGTGGTGGCCACTTTTTTTTTCAAGGCAAAATTACTTTCACTTCCAATTTTTCCCATATTTCCTTGGAATGTATATACTGTGGTTAAAAGTGGGGGGAGGGGGCAACCATCTTTTTAATGGACATTTTCTTATAGTACAGGTAATGTTGGGAAAAAGGGGGGCAGCCCCCCCCAAGCCCCCCCCCCCCCCCCCCCCCCCCCCGGTTGCTACGTGCCTGTCATTTACATATGTATTCATAAAATTGGGTATGAAATTATTCCTGTGACCTATAACTCAGAACCTCTTATATTTATTTTACATGCTTAATTCATTATATACCAGTTTGAATTCTATTAATAATGTAAATTAGATTTTGATAAATGTTTTGCTCATATTAGGACCTTTTTAAATTTACTAATCCCCCCCCTCTCGACACCACAATCACACAGTACATACGTTTGGGAATAGGCTAGATGGAACAGTTTTGTTAAAACAGTGTTTGTTATGAATTAATTTAAAATTTGTTCTTGACATGTAAATTCTATATCACATCACGTTGCGTCACCCATTATCATATTTTTAGATTAAACTCCATTCGGTACACCTCGGCCGATTCCCACTTCATCTGATAAGGTGACGGAATCGACGGCACGGAGGTTTTCCGAATGGAATATCATTATAACATGCTGCAGAATGGTGTGCTTTGGATTAATTCATTTTGTGTTGTAATTGGATTTATATTTCATGAAGTTTACAGGACCTATGGAGGTCGGTAAGTACAAGTTTAAGTATAGTGGGGGGTAAAATAAACCCAAACGATTAGGTTAAAGTTCAAAAAGGGTCAAAGATCATCGCATGCCACACTAGACGAATTTCATATTGTGAAGTTATCTTCCCTTGTCGATGTGACATTCAGTTACTGCCAATACTGGTGCGGATCCAGAATTTTTTTTTCGGGAGTAGGGAGGGGGGTTCACATCACAGTCAAAAAATTCATGCCTAGAATTTCCTGACAAGCAGGAGAAAAAATCATACAATGAAAACAAATAAACAAAAAAAACCCAATGTTTTCTTAGTTAGGGGGAGGATGTCCAAAATCATTTTTTATTTGCTTCAGTATATAGTCTTGTTTAAATAACAAAGGAAATTCCAGGGGGGGGGGGTTCCAATCTCCCTACCCACTCCCTATCCCTGAAATAACAATCTATTTTGAGATTCCAATTAAATAGTATATTTTTTTCTGTTTGACTAATTATGTACATATTTTGTTTCTTGTGTTTATATAATGTCTGTATATTTGTCTGCAGAAATTATAACCTTGCCCATAAGTTTTAAGTGGGATGGGCTATACAATTGGCTTCCACATTTTATAGGTTTATTTCTTGTGACAATTAAGACCTTTTATTTGGGTACCATTAATTTTTACCTCTGATCACTTGACCTAGAATACACATTTTTACAAGAAAAATACCCAACTTTAAACTTGGCCTAAATTTTGATCAGTAGGTGCTAGGGCTTTCATGCTTAACATGTGTATTCATTGTGAACTGTCAACAGGTATAAATATGTTTGACCTTGACCGTAGAGTTTGAACCACTTAAAAAATTAACCTTGGCAATTAACTTTTGAAGAGGAAGTACTAGGGATTACTTATTTCACATGTGCATTCCTTGTGACAAGACTTTTTTCTGATACCAACAATTGAACCTTTTGACCTTGACCTTTGAGTTTGACATATATTTGAGAAACTTCAACCTTCGCCATAGGCTACCAGACAGGGACATCAGTGTTTCACAAACACATCTTGTCTTCATTATTATTTGGTGGTGTCTCCATATGACGGAAAAATTCCAATGAGATATGTATTCACAACAAACAAACAAATTACTAAAGAAAATATAAAACATGAATATGTTGGTCATGCATATCTCTGCATGAAAAAAAACCCAGCTTTTCAAGTACTGCAACCATATTGTAACCCTTTCAAAACACTCATTTGAGCTTTTCTGGTTTCCTTGTCATATAACGTCTGTTGTGACATGTTGTCCATCTGTTTGTCTGAAAACTTTTTACATTTTTAACTTTTCTAGAACCACTGGTCCAATTTTACCCATGCAATTCATATAGAAATATGTACATTTGTATGTCAGACTGTTCTTCTGTCTGAATAAAATTAACCTTGGTTATCACGGTCATATCTACTTAATGAGAAGAGACAAGGCATTCATATTAAACTTATGTACTAGTATTTACCTGTGAGAATGGCATGTTTTTTTTTTTACATATGACCTAGAAGTTTGACCTACTTGCAAAAAAATTAAATTGTTATAAATTTATCATTTTGAAAGAGAAATGTTAGGGTATTCATATTATAATGCATGTATATTATTACCTGTGATAAGATCTTTCCAAATGAATCATGACTTTTACTCTGTGACCTTGACCTTGAAGCCTAACCTACTTTTCAAAAATGTTGCATTTGCTTATAACTTTTGATTGAGATGAGATATGACTCTCACATTTGACATTTGTACATTAATTACTCATAAAAATTCAAGATGTTTCCCAGCTTGCAATGTTTTTTTACTCTTTAACGTTAATGTTTTACATAATTTTCAAGATATTTAACTCTCCTAAAAGATGATTAGGCTTCTGAGTAACATTAAGGAGGACTTCAGGAAAGACAGGACCTTTTGCAAAAAAAATGTAATTTTCAACCCCCATTTGACCTCCCAGGGCAATATCAAAATTCCGAAACCTTGCTGCACATCTACATGACACTACCAACCATCTCCCTAAAGATGATTAGGCTACTGTGTAAAATGTAAGAGAATTTCAGGGAAGACGGGGCTTTTTGCATAAAAACGTCATTTTTTTACCCCTATTTGACCCCCCGGGGCAAAATCAAAATTCCGAAACCTTACTGCACATCTACATGAAACCACCAACCATCTCCCAAAAGATGATTAGCCTACTGTGTAAAATGTAAGAGGAGTTCAGGGAAGACGGGGCTTTTTGCATTAAAAAACGTCATTTTTCGACCCCCATTTGACCCCCCGGGGCAAAATCAAAATTCCGAAACCTTACTGCACATCTACATGACACCACCAACCATCTCCCAAAAGATGATTAGCCTACTGTGTAAAATGTAAGAGGAGTTCAGGGAAGACGGGGCTTTTTGCATAAAAAACGTCATTTTTCAACCCCCATTTGACCCCCCGGGGCAAAATCAAAATTCCAAAACCTTACTGCACATCTACATGAAACCACCAACCATCTCCCAAAAGATGATTAGCCTACTGTGTAAAATGTAAGAGGAGTTCAGGGAAGACGGGGCTTTTTGCATAAAAAAAACGTCATTTTTCGACCCCCATTTGACCCCCCGGGGCAAAATCAAAATTCCGAAACCTTACTGCACATCTACATGACACCACCAACCATCTCCCAAAAGATGATTAGCCTACTGTGTAAAATGTAAGAGGAGTTCAGGGAAGACGGGGCTTTTTGCATAAAAAACGTCATTTTTCAACCCCCATTTGACCCCCCGGGGCAAAATCAAAATTCCAAAACCTTACTGCACATCTACATGACACCACCAACCATCTCCCAAAAGATGATTAGCCTACTGTGTAAAATGTAAGAGGAGTTCAGGGAAGACGGGGCTTTTTGCATAAAAAACGTCATTTTTCGACCCCCATTTGACCCCCCGGGGCAATATCAAAATTCCGAAACCTTACTGCACATCTACATGACACCACCAACCATCTCCCAAAAGATGATTAGCCTACTGTGTAAAATGTAAGAGGAGTTCAGGGAAGACGGGGCTTTTTGCATAAAAAACGTCATTTTTCGACCCCCATTTGACCCCCCGGGGCAATATCAAAATTCCGAAACCTTACTGCACATCTACATGACACCACCAACCATCTCCCAAAAGATGATTAGCCTACTGTGTTAAATGTAAGAGGAGTTTAGGGAAGAAAAGTGTGACAGACGGACGGACGGACGGACATGAGTAACAACAATATACCCGAACTTTCTTTAGAAACTGCGGGTATAAATATGGCCTATCAGACCCCCGTAAGAAGATTGTGAAATTCGACTAGAGAATAAGCCTTATTTTAGAAATATCGATTGATCTTTTGCAAATTTGTGTAATACATTTTATAAACATAACCATTTTTTTACTTTGAATCGGTAAGTCAAATAAATACTGGAAAATCTGAGTAAAATATTCAGTAAAAATAAAACATACATAGCTTCAGAATTGATAATTCATATGTAAATATCCGACAGTTTAAGGTTCCTTAAGAAGAAATGTATAATTCAATTTTTACAAAAAAATACAGAATGATTCAAATGGGTCCTAGAATAAAATGTGTAAAAAAAAAAAGAAAATTGAAACAGTGGTTTCAGATATGTCGGCAATTAAAAAAATTCAATGGCATAAAATCTAAAAGGTTCAATAGATGACGTCACAATATTTGACCTTTGATCTCTTGATATGATCTTGACTTTTGTAGTTCATAAAGGATGGAAACTCCGTATATATGTTTCCAAATATCAACTCTCTACAATTTATGGAACAAAGTTACATAGCATTTTATAACAGACTGTTACGTCCAAAATGCAAGCCCCAAAGTGACCAATATACATGTATAGGATTCTCTAATCTTTTCACAAAATATGACGCAAGCATGCCAAAACGTATTTTCTTACAGGGATCATTCATTGTTGTCAATATAGTAATATTATTTTTTTTTTCTTCGTTACTTTTTAAGAAATGGGTTGAAATAGAATCCAGTTTTTTTTTTCTCCTACCTCAACCCAGCATCGTCATTCTATTTTACATAGCTGTTGCAATAGTTTTACGTTCAAGTTCTACTTTGTTAAGTAAATATCAGTGGAGCTACTGTCTCATCGACACAGCTTGTTTTTTTAATGTAGTGTTGTAACAAACTCATGTACATGTAAACTATTACATATTGAGAATGTTATAATCAATACGAAGAATGAATTATTCTCAAATATTAACATATTTTATTCAATTTTTTTACACACAAAAAAATTCAATTCACTTTGTAAGTCATGTTCAACTCAATTTTGAATGAACATTGTCAATTTTTAATATACATGACATCCATTGATGTAGGTAATTTGATAAAGAAAGTTTCCATTTTCGATTAGTTCATGAAATTGTTTTTACAGCATTATCAGACAGTACAGACAAAAACGACAAGCAGATTCTGAGTGTGGTAGACTTTGGAGGACAATGTGCCTACTACGCCAGTCATCAGGTGTATCTCAGCAGAAGGGCTTTCTATCTACTGGTGATAGACATGTCAAAATTTTTTACAGAAAAAGTTGACGAAAATAAATGTGAACAACAGGGGACAATGTTTGCAGACTGGACATATGGAGGTAATAAAAAGATTTAATGAATCAAAGTGTCTTTTATATTTTATTATTAGTATAAAGAACATTTGTTAATTAAAAACGAGAATATTTAGCGCAATAGATATAAATATTGAAGAAATAGCGAGCCTCAGTTTAAATTTAGCGATTTACATATTGTGATATAAATGATTTATATTTACAACCATTCTTTTTTTGTCCCATATAGATTTCGTTCATCACTTTCACCCAAACAACTATATATTAAGTAAACAACTAGATAATTATGTGTCGGCTGTTCCAACAATGAAACATGCCATAACGTACAAATTGATAATACATACTTTTCTACTTAGATTCATTATATCTTATTACTAGTATCTAGACTGTCGCAAATATTTAATAATGATAATGTGTCTTGTTTTTCTTAAATGCGGGATTAACGATTGCAGTCAATGCAGAAATAAAATATGAAGTCCGCTTAAGCGACCTTTTTTTCTTCCATACTCACCATATGTGCCGTATATCATATTCCTCCTCTAATTATGTTCCCCAAACGAAGTTGGGGAACATATTGTTTTTACTCTGTTTCTTATTAAGGTCTTCCGTTTCAGACGGAAGACCTTATAGTGATTCTACTGTTTCTTATTATTATTCTTATTTTTTAGACAAATTTTGTGCACGCGATATCTCGAGAACTATTCATCGGTTTTTCATCAAACTTTCAGGGATGATGCGCTCTTATATGCCATTGTTACATTTGGAAGAATTTTTGAACAACTCGCTTTCGGTGCCAAGTTATGGCCATTTTCCTGATTTTAAAATGAAATTTTGTCAGTTCGAGATCTAAAGAACTACTAAAGATATGAACTGGAGACTTGTTGGAGAACATAGGGCAGGACTTCTAGATATGCGGAATGTCCTTTTCGTGAGTCGTCAGTACTTCCGGTCGCTAACGGAAGCGAATTAAAAAAATCAAAATTTTCAACTTTTTTGTTTTTCAATATTTTTCTTTGATTTTTATAAATATAATAGAGACTCTTTAAAGAATGTGAAATGTGCAATTTGTTTTAGAATTGAAAAATCCCATCTCGAGATATTCGCATTTAAAAATTTGAAGCGGGTTCAAAATGGCGGCTCTCTCTGTCAACGTCAACATTTAGCAATAGGGGTTTACGGAGGCAGCTTAGCGTTTGCTTGAACGAAGGTAACATAAGAATAAATGAAATGTAAAGGAATACTTGGATTGTCACGTCGTAGTTACGTTGCAATTCTGTCTCAAACTAACGTCTTCTATAATTGTAATTGGTTGGTTCTCAAAGTAAAAAAAGAAAAGACTAAATGTGCAAATGAAATTCGATATGTAATATATTTTTTGCACCACGGAATAACAGATCTAAATGATAGTTATAAGTAATTCTTTCTCAAGGAAGAATATCAATGAATGTTTGAAGTATAAAACTTAACAACGGATTTTTCCTTGCAAACTTGTGTCATATTTTGATTATTGGAAAAGACAAAAGTAAGAAACCTATTATTTGTTCGCTTAATGGAGTTTATATTAACGTTTTTTTTTTTCTTCTCAAAGATGTGCTTCAAGTTATTGAGCATAAATGATAAATTTTGAATACTGACCTGTCTTACATAATTCTAAGTCAGAAGCACTTTTTCGGAAATATATGTAAAAGTAGATTTGCAGCAGAGGTCCCAATAGCGTACTATTAAGCGTATTGGATTTTCATGCTGACGACTAGTTTTAAATCCTCTTCATGTGCAAGTTATTTTTTTCTTTTCAGCTCGATTTTACGTTTTCTTTCCGGAATCGGACGGAAGACCTCTCGTTGCTCGCAACGAGTTTCATATCTAGTTATGTTCCCCAAACGGAGTTTGGGAACATATTGTTTTTACTCGGTTTCTTATTATTATTATTAAGGTCTTCCGTCTCCAACGGAAGACCTTCTTGTTATTCTTCGGTTTCTTTTTCCCTATTATTATTAAGGTCTTCCGTCTCCAACGGAAGACCTTATTGTTTTCGTTCGGTTTCTTTTTCCCTTTTATTATTCCAACCGATTTTGTGCACGCAAGTTCTCAGAAACGACTCGTCCAAATTTCACGAAACTTTCAGATCTGGTAGGTATTGATCTGAAACTTATTGGAAATTTTTTTGATTGATGACGTCACTTCTTATCTCGAGATATTTAGGATTTTCTGATTTTCAGAGGGTCGGCTTGTCCAGGAAACTCCTCCGAAACGACTCAAGATATCGACTTAAGATTTTCAGTGAAAAGAAAGGAAGGTTTGATGAGTTGCAATTGGGTCTCCAAATCTTTCTAGCGCAAAAGGCGCCGGAGCTCGGTAGGGCCCGAAAAAATGTCTCAGAAATATCTCACAAGATTTGACACATTTTGTTTCAGATCTTCATACCTGTTCATAATTTGTTAAAGCATATTGAAAAAAAGATGTGCAAAATTACAAGACCTTTCATTTGATACAAAAAAAATGGGGCTGACCCATCAAATTAGGGGCTCAGAGGGACCAAAAGTCTTTCATCTATTACTCTCTAATGATCGATATTTTGTTATATATTACTGAAGCAAAAGTAGTCATCTTAACAGTTTGCAACAATATATGATAAAATTTTGATCATATGTTACGTAATTAGGGGTCACAAGGGGCCAGAATGTCAAATCTTTGACGCTTTATATCTCAAAAAGGGGGAATATTTTGATAAGCAATATTGAACAAAAGATGGTCAGAATAATGTTCTAAACAATATGCATACTTTGAATTTTTGTAAAACGGCCCCATTAAGGACTTGTAGGGATGGCCCCTAAATATTTCCATTTAGCATATCTCCACAACGAATAGAAATCTCTGAATAAATACTGAACAAAAAATCCTTATAATCACAAGACCTTTCATTTAATACCAAGAAAATGGGGCTGACCCCTCAAATTAGGGGCTCAGAGGGACCAAAAGTCTTTTATCTATTACTCTCTAATGATCGATATTTTGTTATATATTACTGAAGCAAAAGTAGTCATCTTAACAGTTTGCAACAATATATGATAAAATATTGATCATATGTTACGTAATTAGGGATCACATAGGCCCAGAATGTCAAATCTTTGACGCTTTATATCTCAAAAAGGGGGAATATTTTAAATAGCAATATTGAACAAAAGATGGTCAGAATAATGTTCTAAACAATATCCATACTTTGAATTTTTGTAAAACGGCCTCATTAATTATAAGGACTTGTAGGGCTGGCCCCTAATTATTTCCATTTAGCATATCTCCACAACGAAAAGAAATCTCTGAATAGATACTGAATAAAATATCTTCAAAATCACAAGACCTTTCATTTGATACCCAAAACATGAGGGGGGGGGGGCTGACCCCTCAAATTAGGGGCTCAGAGGGGCAAAAACTCTTTAATCTATAACTCTTTAATAATCAATATTTTGTTATATATTACTGAAGCAAAAGTAGTCATCTTAACAATTTGCAACAATATATGATAAAATTTTGATCATATGTTACGTAATTAGGGGTCACAAGGGGCCAGAATGTCAAAACTTTGACGCTTTATATCTCAAAAAGGGGGAATATTTTAAATAGCAATATTGAAGAAAAGATGGTCAGAATAATGTTCTAAACAATATCCATACTTTGAATTTTTGTATAACGACCCCATTAAGGACTTGTAGGGATGGCTCCATAACATTTCCGTTAAGCATATCTCCACAACGAATAGAAATCTTCGTTTAAATGGGTTTAAAAACGAATAAATACTGAACAAAAAAATTTCAAAATCACAAGACCTTTCATTTGATACCAAAAAATTGGGCTGACCCCTCAAATTAGGGGCTCAGAAGGGCCAAAACTCTTTAATCTATAGCTCTCTAATAATCAATATTTTGTTATACATCACTGAAGCAAAAGTAGTCATCTTAATGATTTGGAAGAAGATATGATAAAATTTTGGTCATATTTTATTGATATAAGGGTTGCAAGGGGCCAAAATGCTATATTTTTTATGCTTTACGTCTCGAAAAGGGGAAATATTTTTTAAAGCCATATTGAACAAAAGATGTTCAGACTATCGTGATAAATATCAGAAACTTTAAATTTGATGAAGAAAAAGTTAATGTCTTTCTCCTTTAACTAATATCTCAGTCAAAATCACATCTCATCTTATCGAGAAATTCAACGGAAGACCTACTCGTTGCTCGCAACGAGATCTCATCTAGTTATTATTATTATTATTATTATTCTTACCGATTTTGTGCACGCGATTTCTCGTAAACTACTGGACCGATTCTAATGAAACTTTGACATCTGATAGGTACTGATCTGAACCTTATTGGAAATTTTTTTTGTCGCGGACGTCACTTCCGGTCGTGAGATATGGACGATTTTCTGATTTTAAAATGCAATTTTGTCTTGATTTAGTAGCGAAAACTGCTTTAGATATGAACTGAAGATTAATTGTAGATGATAGTTCATGACTTATAGCGTTGCAGAATCGCCTTTTCGTGCGACGTCAATACTTCCGGTCGAAACCGGAAGCGAATTTAAAAAACGTAATTTTTCAACTTTTCTTTTTTTATATTTTTGTTTTAGAATTGGATAGAGACCCTTTTGCAGAAGCCAAATATGTAATTTGTTTGAAAATCGAAAAAGCCAATCTCGAGATATTTGCATTTGAAAACGCGAAGCGGCGATCCCGATGGCCTAATGGTTAGCGCGTTGGATTGTCACGCGGGCGACCCGGGTTCGATCCCCCGTGTGTCCAAAAAATTTTATCACTTTTTCTGCTCGATTTTTCGATTTTTATTAATTTTAGACCATTTGCAACAACATATTTTCAACTTTTAGGCATATCTTACGTAATAAGGGGTCACAAAGGGCCAGAATGCTAAATCTTTGACGCTTCATATCTTGAAAAGAGGAAATATTTTGATAAGCAATATTGAACAAAATATGGTCAGAATAATATTTGTAACAATATGCATACTTTGAAT